AAGGGTTCGACGTTTCATGGGACTATGGAGGGTGATTTGATTATAGAAATCGGGCATTGACTAATAATCCACTTGAGATGCAGCAGGCGACCAGAGAAAGATGCCCAAAGTTTGCCCAGCGTACACGGCCTTAGTCGAGGATATGATGTGTTAAGGTAATGTCTAATTTCCGCAGGTATGGGAATCAAAGCCTGTGCGCTCTGAAAATAAGGCGACTGTACATGCTACTGGAGGATTGAGAAATAGCATTTGGAGTAAAAGTACGCTGGGGCGGAACCGAGTGAAATCAGTTAACCAGAAAGATAAGAAACGAGCCTACGTCCCCATGAGGCAGTTCTGGACAGAAAGCTCGATTCGGATCAGCCATTCTAAAAGGAAGGGGGTAAGGCAAAGTGCAGGTATGATGATGCCACGGTAAATTCGCCAAAATGGCACATCTCTCGTAGAATATAACCATGTCAGAAGTTGTGATATGAAGAGGGCTAGACTGGGACAGAGTGAGGAGTGGTCCCATAACCATCTCGACAAAAAGTTGGTCAGGGGATTGACTTCACTTGTATTTTTGACGAGTTGTAGCTTGGTTGCTGAGGCTGGCAAGACTTACTGATGCCGGCGAAACCTCTGGGAATGTACCAACTCCACAGTCCGACTGGAAATTATCATGCATATTATGGTCTCTGGGTCTACCAGCTAATATGACCAAGTTGCGAAACCAAGATTAAGATTATAAAATTATATTAGATTAGGAAAATGATTGAGTCTACACACATGATTCTACACAATGCTCCAATACTATCGGGCTCAAATGTTAGATAACATCCGAACCAGATAGTGCTTCAATTCCAGTCTTGGGTCGATGACTTGAAGTAGATGTGTAAATAATTTTTCAGATTGCCACTATAGGATCGGCATACTGTGTCCAGCTTATTTTATTACTGAAAATGAGAGGAGGTGAATGTGAAAGGGATATAATATGCCAATCTCCAGAGCCGCCTGTAAAGGGCATGAGCTGCATCCTACAAGGCGTACGATTTACTAACTTATTGGCTTTTCTAGTATGATGTGAATCCTAGATGTGACAATGGATGGATGAGTGACGTGGGTTATTATGGATTATTATGATTGAAATCACTCTTTTCGACCATATTTGCATCTGTTGTTGCTTTTCATTCGCAAATAGTTTATCAATAATTGTCATTACAGAAATCCTAGTTGCCATTGCTACCAATACGTTAGTTTCCTTGTATTTTTTTGATATATTTAATTTTAATTCCTCAATTATCTTTATTATCACCTAAGTTTACTCTGACCTCGCAGGTAAATCGTTGGCTCAACTGGCTTGAAACTGCTGAAGAAGAAGACGATGAAGATGAGGAAAATGCCAGTGAATCAAAGAAATGTGAGGATGTTTCACAAACTGAGCAGGTTGAAGTGAATAGTTGCTAAGCGCCTATATCTCTGGTGCCATACAATGTCTCAGCTTATCTTAAAATGAGCTTTCGACATGCTACTTTTTCTAGAACTTTAAACCTACACGATAACAAACATTTACTGCAGATGCCCATTATCCGATTAACTTATATACTTGGTTACTCTGTGATTACTCTCGATGAACAGTCTTTCCAAATGTGCTACAACGATTAAATGCAGTTCACTTCGGCCGTACATTTGATTTCTCCTAACAGTTGTGCTTCTCGCATTGATGAGTCAAAGTCATTTTGTCTGAGGTGGATGCGATAAAAAAAGATTCCACAAGTTACGGCTTCTATACCTGATATTTTAAATTCTTAGTGTTAGATGTTCATCTATTTAGGCTGCAATGGGAAAAAGGTGCATATCTCTACTCTAGTGAACTGGGCGGTATAATTGCATGCCATCGGGCTACCATCA